TTCTTCGGGAGATGATGAACGCGATACAATGTCTGGACCTCGAATCTTTACGCATATCGATGTCTACTCTTATACTGGCCTGTGAACAGATTTCAAGACGCATACGTAGTGCATGACCTAACCAACGAGCAGTTTGCACAAACACAAGTTTATTCGCGTACTGTGCAAAGTTCACCCCTTCGTTTTCACCATGATTAAAGGATGCTTTTCAAACACTGGCACAAGGACCATGATGGTGGTGTTGGTTAGCATCGGCTGTAGGACTCGAGCCATTTCACCGCACTCGGAATTTGGGGAAGAGTGAATGTTGTTTGGACAATGAGCCTTTTTCTTGCAGAACTTAGCTGACTTATGCTTGATGCGGATCTACTTCAGTCTGGACAACCGATATCTTTTTTAATATCCTGAATGTCACCTCCGTAGCCTGTAGAAGTTTTACGCTTCCTTTAGACCTGCCCCTACTCCTTACTAGAATGTTGCTCTCGGGGAATTTCCTATAGACCAGCGTCGCTATTTACTGCACACGGGTTTTATTCAGTCGTCTGACTATAGACTACACGGTGCAGCAACGTGTAGGGATGGTGGGAGGGCCTTCAGCGGTTGAATACTACATTGACTCACGTGTCTGACAACTAAACAGTCGCCGACAAAAAGTAACAGCCCACCTAGAACACTGGCGACTGACGTCCGGCGAGACTACCACCTTATAAAATACTACAAAGTCCGATAAAAGAACTATAGGAGAGTGACTGTAAACCGCCAATAAATAATTTTCCAGATTGCCGCTGCATTGCTGTTAGGCTCATGGGGATAAAACCTCGGACAGAAAGTTCAAGCGGCCGCTTGGAACCTGCCTGCACTCAAAATTTCCAAAAAACCTCATGAAAAAGTGTTCGATTCAAGTATTAAGGTTTACACTACGACCGACGCGTTTTGCAATGCTGGTCGGTGATGCGGGCAAATCGTATAGGGGCTGGACCACTTAGTTGAGAACGGACCCTTGACATAAGGCGCTGGAATGTGCCAGCTTTCCTCGACCCTGGTACCCAAAGTCTGATGTCGCGGAGTCCTCATCACTACGGCGTGGATATCTGCCGCCTGCCTGAAACCCGTATCATTGAGTCAACCTCCAGGAACATCAAGATCCCGTTAAGCTAACTCCCATCTCGCCCTTTGTCACCGCGACCAGAACTGTCGAGCAAGACCCCATAGACTATGGCGTCGGAGGGACCTCTCAGGATGTGTAAGTCCACGCCGAAGCAGACACTCAGGGCGTCCGAATCAGACAGTTAAAACGCGGCGCTAACTCGATCGTCGCTACTAGGCAGCCTGATGGGCCGGCAAGGCCGTCGACGTGGAACCTCCAGCTGGAATAATAAACAGCAGAATTCGACATTTAGTCCCATAAACCTGTAACAATCCCTCCCAGCTGTTCCCTTTGCGATCTAAAGCACGAAAAGATTTTATCCCAATGCCCCTTTCATTAAACTGCGTTACTGAATGGCGTCTCCTAAGATCGTACGCTGTTGCAACAATGTCGAATTGACATCCAGGCGTCGGCTGATTGAGCTCAGCTATGCTAGTGATATCGCTCTCCGAGCGCCAATCCATGGCGACGTACAGAATGTAGTGTCACAGTCGGATAAGGTCACTAAATCTGTCAATTAACATGTAAACGACAGAGGGGGCGCTCACCGATCGTTACTACAGCACCTACTCGTTCTGTTGTGCTTTATGGGCTCTCACTCGAGCCCAAGCAGCCTCGGGTGTTCCACACTTCGGGGTTGAGCATGACTGGCTGACGACGGCTAATAAGTCACAAATGGTCATTCCAGTCTCCCTTGTCTTTGTCCGTATTACCATTCTAACATGTATACGCTGCAGATGTCGTGTTTTACGGCGGCGTTTCAGGCCAGGTGGCACGTTTCGGGATTAATTGCTATTAGCTTGAATAAGTGGACAGATGCAAATACCTTAGGGCGAAGTATCTACCAAACGGGCAGAATAAAATTGACATGTTTTTCCAAACCGACGCTTTCGCCGTCCTTAGAAAGCGTCTATGGAGACGACTGGATATCCGCATCGCCACAAAGATCCGCACATACCTAGCATCCGTTCAACCAGTCCTCCTGTACGATTGTGACTGTTTGGCTGTGCGTGTGAAAGACGAAGATTGGAGGCGCATGGCCATAGTCGTCTGCGAACCGTCCTTTCATTGGGCGTTCGCACCCACTGCAGCAACACCGTGGGCTTGTCGTAGGCCATCTGAGAAAGGCGACTAAGATGACTTGTTCACGTTCTTGTCAGCTCTTCTCGTGAGTTCGGTGTTGTTACCCGTAACCCAACACCGCTGTCTAACTTTGGTGGGGGGGGGGCAAGAAGTTGAGGATACGAAATCTGGATTGACATGGCTCATCAAGACATAGAGATAGTCCTTGGGTTTTTGGCATTTGTCGTCGGAGAAGGAGGTCAATGGCACTCTCCGTGTATACTGCTACAAATCGCCAAGCGGAGAGGCGTCATTGAGGCCGGCTGGATCGCAGCTATATCAAGTGTAGGCTGTTTGATCTGACTGCGAGTAAAGCAGCGATGTTTGAAGACCTTTATTCAGAGTCTTCTATCTTCATTGTTTATGCTTTCCAGATGACCGCACAGAAGTTTGGCGATCCAGAATGTGCGTCCGGTTCGCTTGCAGGCTCCGGTGCAACCAGTGCCTCTGCTGCCTACGAGGAGAATAATACGGAGAGGACGGACGGCATGGATGGTGCAGGCACGGACGAAGACGATGATGAGGAGATATTTGGAAAGGCCAAAGACAGCTCTGGTCCCGGGAGGGGCAACATCTTCAATCTGCCGCCCAGGTAAACTTCTGCTGCGCTTTAACCATGCAATCTTCACAATTATATCTGCGATTGTTGGCCTTGCAGCGAAAATAGGGATTGTTTTATAGCCGCCGAAACGCAGATTCAAATTTCGAGGTGCCCACTGTTCGCATTACTTATCCTTTGAGGACTTTCTCCGTAGCTTGTATCTTACATAACTCGTAAGTATATCTGTAGATTAGCATCAGCTTTATGACACGTACAGTAGATGTGCTAACTCATGAAATGTCAACCAAAATTTCGAAATACGTTCTCGTTTCGAAAATATAAATTAAGTAGTGTTGTGAAACTAATCATGATGTAGCATAAATATATAATGATCCAGTTACCTCAGGGTGTCGGCTTTCGAAAGAACTTACGTTCGGCTGCATGCAAGATCTATACTTTGCAAAAATGACTACTTAAGTAGTATGCAATTTTCTCATTGCTTTTCGATGCCCTTGAAAATTCAATTATATTTCATGGAAAACACACATAAAATTATTCATTCTTTTACTTACTCAGTAGAAAATCACGCCTTCTTTCAATTTCATACTCAAAAGAAGAGTATAATTCGGTTTTAAAAAAGTTTCTAATTGTAAGATTTTTTAATACCGTTAAATGGCCGTTCATGAAACGTCATGTATCTGCATTTACGAATGTGGCTTGTAAAGTTAACAATATTGCTCAAATTCACTGCTTAATTTTATGAACCTCATATGATCTCCCCTTAACACCGTAGAGAAATGCATGGTTTTCCGTACACGGAAAATATGCAGCTTGTAGTTTTGAAACCCCGAATGCAAGTGTAACAGTAGGCCGGGTTCAAAATTATTCGGGAATTAGAAGAGTTTTTTTAAAACCGAATTATACTCTTCTTTCGAGTATGAAATTGGAAGACGACGTGATTTTCTACTGAGTAAAAAAGAATGAATAATTTTATGCGTGTTTTCCATGAAATATAATTGAATTTTCAAGGGCATCTAAAAGCAATGAGAAAATTGCATACTACTTAAGTAGTCATTTTTGCAGAGTATAGATCTTGCATGCAGTCGAAAGTAAGTTCTTTCGAAAGCCGACACCCTGAGGTAACTGGATCATTATATATTTATGCTGCATCATGATTAGTTTTACAACACTACTTATTGTATATCTTCGAAACGGGAACGTATTTCGAAATTTTGGTTGACATTTCATGAGTTAGCACATCTACTGTAGTGTTTAAATTTTTTGGCGGGTTGCGCAGCGTGTGCGCTGGACCAACCAGCACGAGGGCTAGATTGGGATCCAATAGGCGTTTCTTGCAATGGGCGCCCACAACAAATGCCAACAGTATATTAATGTGATAGCACGCCTATGCGCAGGCCCACGCTGCGCCAGTTGGGATCCGAGGCGTCTCCCATTTTCTTTTTGTACAGAATCCTGGCCAGTGTACATTGTGAACCAAGGGCTACGGTGGCACGCACCAATGTGCGAATTTTTGGCCTGCCAGCTACGTGCGCCCTCTTCCGCTTCCGATCTTCTTGACTCTGTCATGACACCGGACCCAGGCGAGGGAGGAGAAGAGTGCGCGGTAGATGTGCGCAGGTCTTTCATCACTATAAATGAAGTGAAGCGCAACTCACCGTCCCTGCTCCCAAACCTGCCGTAGAGTACGCGTCGGCATCGTTAGCAACGACGGTCGGACTGTCACATTTCTGACATCCGGAGATGTGCGTCCATCCTCAGTAGTCATTACGCTCACATTTACCTGCAGTCGTCTCGTTGTCTTGCCTTTGACACATGGGTAGTGTTTAAACAGAGACTGGGAAGGATGCTGTTTAAACCCTCCTCGCGTGCAAGTCACCTCTGCCTACCCAAGAGA